TCACCCAAATCCTTACCCATGGTTTACCCATGAACCTTGAACTGGCTGTTTAGTAAGGCAGTTTGACGCTGTGACAGTTGAGTGAAGCCCATTTTTGGAAAATGTGATTGATATCTTTCTCCAGTACCATGGTGTCCCTGGGCTCTATGGGGTCTCAAAGAATCAGACTTGACTTAGCCACTGAACAATAACAGAACCAAGGTCCTTCTGTGGATTAAAGATGACTGCAAATTCTTTTCTACCTTCTCTTTGAGAAGTGTGGTCTAATTTTTATCTTCTTGAATCTGGGTTGGTCTTTGTGACTTACTTGATCAGTAGAAAGCAGAGGAAATGATATTCTGGAACTTCCAAGCCGAGGTGGAAAGAAACCTTGTGGAGTTTTGGACATTTGTTCTTGGAACCTGGCCACAGTGTTGTGAGGCAGCCCAAGTCATTCCAATGGAGAGGTCCATGGGGACTGGAATCCTGAGCCCTGGTTGACAGTCTTCGTTTGGCTCCCAGGTGACAGCATCTTCTTAGAAGGGAATTCTCTCACCCCTATCAAGCTATTCCTGCTGTAGCCACATAGATCAGAGATCAGCCATTTCCACCAAGCCTGCCCAAACTGCAAGCTTTGGAGCAAAATCAAGCCTTGTTTTTGTTTTAACTCACCGTGTTTTGGGGTGGCTTGTTATGTACCACTAGATGACCAGGACTGTCCCCAACCACTCAGTAATAATTGTTCATTGAATCTGGAGTCAGAAGACCAGGTTCCAAGGCTAGTTGTGCTACTAGGTAGCTCTTTGAGCAAATAATTCTTTTCTTGAGGCAGTCTGGAAAAAAGGGAAAGAACTTATGTTTCAGGGCCAAAGAAATCCAAGTTCAAATCCTTGTTCTGGCGTTACTCATGTGACTGAGGGCATTCCATTTTGCCTTTTCCAGTCCCTGTTTTCTTGTGTTAGGTGGGGGCAGTAATTCTCACTTGCAGTGTTAATGCTAAGAATTGGCGCATGGTAATGCCTAGTGTGTGGTAGCCCCCATGTGTCCTCACCTATAAAGTGAAGGTGTCAGAGTCTGGGGAGACAGCAGGGAACTGTGGGGTGTTCTCAAACTCTGGAGATGGGCTAAGTGGGTTCCCAAATGAGGCTGCTACTCCCCCATAGGGCACCATTGTCTGAAAGAGATAAAGGCAGGTGCAGCCTGATAGATGATGGTATGGGGAGCAGATAGAGCCCCAGTGAAACTGCAAACAGGCTTCCTTTCGCTCAAGTGGTTGTAGACACAGGCCAGGTGCTTATCAGGGTGAGCAGAACCCAGCCTGGATTTTGGCCCCTCAGATGCGTGCCTTTGGCCACTGGACATCCTGCACAACCATGTGAGCCAGCTGGGTCTGCCCAGACCAGGCTTTCCTTATAACTTGGTAACTAACTTCAGAGGAGTATTTTAAACTCTTAGTTTCCATATCTGTGGGATGGGTGAAGCGATGCTTGTCTGTCCTAGAGAGCTGCTGTGAGAAGGAAGCCAGCAAACGTGAAATGCCAACAGAATGCCTGGCATAAAGGAGGCACATAGTAAGTGGTAGTTTCCTTCTTCCCACACAAAATAATATTGGAGACTTTTCTTTAAACTTCTCGCCTACCCCCAGGAGGGGGTAAACGAAGAGAGAGGAGTTGGCCTCCGTCCCTTGTTCTACGGAAAGGCAAGGGGAGAGTGGAAAGACGGGGTCGCAATTGTCTGGAATGATCTGCTCCATGGGTTTTGGAAAACTCTGCCTTTGAATGTCTACAGGTGTAGAAGCTGTTAGTTAATCTTGGACCTCAATGGAGCCAGTTATTGTCAATCATCGGCTCCATTTCCACAGTCAGGGCTGGGTGCTGGCTGCCTGAGCCAGATCACAGATTCATGCACAGGTAGAGTCAGATGGTCAGAGGAGGGTACACTTTTCAGGACCTCCATATACGCTTGGCATTTCCTGGTGTTTTGACCTAGACAGATGCAATTCTCTGCTGACTTGGCTCCTCTCCCTACCCCAGATCAAGAGTTCCTTTTTTTCTTTTTTTTTAAATTTATTTGTCTGCACCAAGTCTTAAGGTGCAGCACACAGGACCTTTGATCTTCCTTGCAGTGTAGTATGAGGGATCTTTTTTAGTCCAAGCATGGGAACTCTTAGTCTCGGCATTTAGGATCTAGTTCCCCGATCAGGGATCAGTTCGGGGCTCCACCCCTGCATTGGGAGCTCGAAGTCTGAGCCACTGGACCATCAGGAAATTTCCCCTGCTTAAGTCTTTTCATCATCATACTGCCAAACACAGCACAATGCCTGGCATGCCGTGGGACCCAGTGAACACTTTCTTTCATGATTGAAAGAACACAGGGACAAAGGAAGTGGCATTTATTAGGCAACACAAATATGAAAGGAATGTTACCTAAGTTATCCATTGACTGTCAGTGACATCTCTGTGTGTGGGAAAGTGGAGAAAGGAATGACAATTTCTGAACTTGATCTCTGGTCCAGGAATTCTACTAGGGACTTTAAGTACATAATTTAATCTTTTTAAACAAGTTTATGAGTGCAATTATACCCATGTTAGAGACAGAGACAAGGAATCTCAGATTAAAAATTAATCAACTTACCAGATCTACATAACTTAAAGGTGGTAGAGTTGAGACTTAAATCTAGAGCTTTCTGCCTGTAAAGTCCTGAACTTTCCACTGTATCTAACACCTTCTTTCTTGGGAAAGTCAGAGACTGGCTGTTCCAGAGACAGGAAAACAAGAGCCTATGTTCAAAGGCTGGGAGAAACCAGGAGGTTAAAGAAAGGAACAGGTAGCACCTCCTGTAAGTAAATATTTATTGAGATCTCTTCGGTACACAGTAGTATTCTAGTATCATAGTTATGAGGTATATGGTCCTAAGTGCATGGAACAAAAATTTGCCTTTGTTCAGTTTATCATCTGTAGAGTGGTACCAGGCAAGAGCCAAGCTGAATGTCAGATCTAGGGTGTCTACTTAAACTCCTCATTGACAATGTGCAGAGGTTCCCAGGGCATACCTGGAGGTGGCAGTCTACAGGCATGCAGGAGAGTTAGGGTCCTGGCTCAGATTGGAGAAGACCACGTAGCTGCCTTATTAGGTAGGAAACCAGCCTCGGGAACTGCTCCACGTGGAAGAGACAGACAGCGGATGCAAGATAGGGAGAGATCAACTCAGAGCTGGACCACAAAAAGTGCTGAGTGCCGAAGAATTGATGCCTTTGAATTGTGATTCTGGAGAAGACTCTTGAGAGTCCCTTGGACAGCAGAGAGATCAAACCAGTCAGTCTTAAAGGAAATCAATCCTGAGCATTCATTGGAAGGACTGATGCTGAAGCTCCAGTACTTTGGCCACCTGATGCCCAGAGATGACTCACTGGAAAAGACCTTGACGCTGGGAAAGATTGAGGGCAGGAGGAGAAGTGGGTGACAGAGGATAAGATGGTTGGATGACATCACCAGCTCAATGGACATGAGTTTGAGCAAACTGCGGGAGATAGTAAAGGACCGTGAAGGCTGGCGTACTGCAGTTCATGGGGTCACAAAGAGTTGGACTCTACTTAGTGACAAAACAACACCACCACCAATGTGGGCCAGTCTTCCCTTGTTTACAGTTCAGACTGATCTGAGACTGGGGCAGAATGGAGCTTGCAGATGGATTTATGCAGAATTAAAGGAGTTAGGTAAATTACTTCATTCAAAAGCTTCCAGAACCTGAGATCCCTCCCCTGCTTAAAGCATCTTTCACATCACCAAATAGCTGCAGTCATCACACCACTTAACAGCTGCAGTCATCACACCACTTACTATCCCTGACTTGAGGGACCATTTTGGGAGGTGACTAGTAGATTCTCTGTGGGATCAGGTTGAAGATCTTTGCTTTAGAATCTAGAACAAGCAAGCCATCTAGAAGAATAATCAGTTCTTGATTATCTGTATGAATTTAAGTTGTCTTCCTGGTCTCTCCTGGGCACAGGTAACCTAAAATAATGGAAAATCTAAAAAAACCATTTACATTTGGCCTTGGGATGCATTATATGATTTTTTCCAGCAGGTTTACTTTCATAATGATGTTTGCTTAGGATGTTATTAAAATTAGTTAGCTTTCCCCGAGCCTACATCTGCTGGGGAGTGGGTGGAAGGAAATAGAGAGCCGTGGCTCAGAGATGCTGGGAGGAAGTGGTTCCTGACCCTGGATTTGTAGCAGATAATCCCAGGAGCTGGTTGTGCCCCATTCAGAGGTATGGGTCATTTCGCTATGGGTCTTGGTAGGTCAAGATTTGATCCCTCAGATTCAGATTCAACAAAGTTTGTTGATGTGTTGGGCATTGTGATAAGTACTTTAACACCTTTATTTCATTTAATCTGCCCAATGGCCTGGTAATGTTGGTATTATTCCCAAATTACTGAAGAGGAAATTGGACCTATGCTTCAGAGTTACATAGCTTGCAAATCACAGAGCTGAGATCTGACCCCAGGTTTTCTTGTTAAAAACTCCACTGCTCTTTCCACATCCGGCTCAAATGTGCACCACCACCCAACCAACCAGTGTTTAGCGAACACGGAGATGTGTCACCCGAGATATGGAGATGAATAAGGCTTCGCTTCAGGAAGTTGGGTAAGGCACCAAAGCTTTCCTCCCTTTTAAAAATCAGATGAAAGTAAGATAAATGCCATGAATTAATGAGAGAATTTTAAACAAGTCCCTCGGTGGCTGATATCTGGAGGTTGTACCTGCTTCGGGGAAGGGAGGTGGGAAATGGGGTGGGTGGCTGACAAATTCAGGTGTGTCCTTGTGTCTTGTCACCAACATTCAAGCAAGTGCAGTTCTTGTTGCCTCCCTCCCCCAGATAATTCAGACTGGCCCTGTGTCCATTTTTTATTTATTGGTCCCAGAATAGGCAATTTCTCTGCCTCCATCAAGGTAACTGAGAAGACAGATAGGAGCGGCTGGACCATGCTCTCTGGCCTCCTCATAATGGACAAACCGCTTTTCATTTTGCTCTGGAATCTCTCCCACCAGCCCTGCTGACTTCATTATCGGCCTTCCAGCCTTCAGTGTCGGGGAGGGGCTGCCGAGCTCCAGCCCAAGCCTGGGTTCATCTCTCTCCAGGGCACTTTCTACTTTCTATAGAGAAACAAGTGGTAGCTCGGGGCCTCTCTGTTGAAGCCACTCTGTCTTGGATAAAATTTCCTGGGGCTGTGGAAGTCAACAGCGACAGGAGCATTTACAGTAACTGCCAAGCTTAATAGCATCTTGTGATGAAGTTTTACTGTAAACAGCAGGCAGGGCGGAGGGCGGCGAGTGGGCCTGGCTCATCCTGACAGTAGTGAGTCCCCACTCAGAATCGACACTTCTCGTGGGCGTCTTTACCAGCTCTTACCTTGTTCCCTGTGCCTGGGTCCCGGGGATTAATGCCAGTGTCACCCGCTGATTTGATCATGCTTCTCACCACTTCTCCTTCTTTCTTTTGTTTGTTTTTGAGAGGAGCTGGGGGAGGGGGGCCGGGTAGCTTTTTATGGTGAGCTGGTCCTGGCCATGGAGGATGCATTCTAGAATGTTCTTCCAAGCAGGCCCTGCTTTCCTCTGCTCTGGGCCTCCCAGTTTCTGAGAGAGGGGGAGGAAAGGCCAAATGGCCATTGGAAACAAAGCCAGTCCAGATCTCATTCCTGAGATTTCAAGGGCACCTGGAACCTCCCCCACCCCACCCACCCAGTGGCTTCAGTTTTTGGACCAGTCCACTAGCCATAAGCCATGGAAATGTCTAAGAAGGCTGTTCAGCTGGACCTGGGCTGGCATGGTGCTGCAGCTACTGGGATGGGCAGAAGGATTACCAGGAAAGGAGGCATGAGCTGGGCTATTCTCTGCCACTAAATAGGGGCCACCCAGGATGGCTCTCAGGGCCACTGTTTGCTGGGCAGAGTTTTCCCGGAGCCCTGCTGAAGTGGGGGCACAGAGGGGGCAGGCCTGTCATTCAATTCCCAACCCTGTGGCTTACGTTTGGAGGGTGACTATGCCCTGTGGGTTCCCTGGATGCTCCCCAACAGCCCCTGCCCCCACTTCATTTATCTCACATCGCTGGAGGGGAAGAAGCAAGGGCATGCCCTCCCTGTGGGCGTGGGACCACGCTCCGCCAGGGTAGGGGTGGGAAGGTGCAAGGGGGTCTCACTCTGCTTTCTTGCCTCCCTCCCACTGACTACTGTTTGTGTGGCTGGAAGCTGGGTGGTGCAGGAAAGCTGGGGAAGGGGGCATGTCTGTGTGTGCAAGTGGCTGTGGAAGCAAGCAGCAGATCATCAGACCTCCATTGGGACGTACCTGTGGGTCTGCAGCAGGAACGAGAACCAGAGTATAGGGTGAAGTCTCAAAAAGAGACTGCTGAGCATCACTTGTAGCATCAGGGCCAAATGATGATGATGACAGTGGTGGTGATAATGATGGTGGTGATGATGATGGTGATGGTGATGATGGTGATGGTGATGATGGTGACAGAGGCAATCTTAGATTTCTGAGGCATTTTTCTTCCCTGGCTCTGCCTTATCTTTGCTTCTTTTCAATTTCTCACCAAACCTGGGAGCTGAGAAGCCTCTCTCGTCATCATTTATGAGTGGAGAACCTAGTAGGGCCAGGGTCAAACTGTATATCAGAGGCAGCAAGATGTCAATAAGCATGACAGATATTGAACCCCTACTCTCTGCTGCTATTTATTTTTATTTTTACTACAACTCTGTGATAATGGAACAATTATTATCCCATCTGACAGATGAGGATCCTTGGGCATAGGATAGAAGATTAACCTCTCAAGGGCCCAGTTTATTGATTCAAAGCGCATGGCCTTAACCATTAGGAAATACTGCCCTGGAAGCCAGGGTGCAGTTTTGTGTCCGCCACACCAGTCTGTGGTGGTTTCTAGAGTCAGAATGACTTCCCCTCCTCTCTAGTAAGACATCACGCAGAGAGACAAGACAGGTATTTTAGTCAGCTCAGGCTGCCTTACAGAATTACCACAGACTGGGAGGCTAAAACAGCAGATATTTATTCCAATTCTGTAGGCTGGAGACGCAAGGTCAAGGTGCCGGCAGGGCTGGTTTCCTGTGAGGACTCTCCTTGGCTTTCAGTCGACTACCTCATCACCATGTTCTCACCTGGCCTTTCCTGCAGGCATACGCACTCCTGGTATCTCTTATAAAAATACCAGTTATATTGGAGTAAGGCCCTGTCTTTATGACCTGTCTTAACCTTAATTACCTCCCTAAAGATCCTATGTTTATAAGGTCACATTGGAGTCAGGGCTCCATTGATAACTGGGGTGGGGGAATGACGAAATTCAGTCCATGATAGTAGCGAGTGAAGAGCTGGACTCACAGGAGTAGTTGAAAATGCAAAGGGAAAAGAAGGGAGGACCGCAAAACGGAGGTAGAACCAAGTCTCCTCTCCAAAGCGAGCCCCATTTACCCCAGGGCTTGCTTGGGGCCCTGCCAGGGACAGACACCCTGCAGAGAGCTTGTGAGGGTCGCGTGGGTCCCTAAGCCCCTGTCATGTGTCCAGAGCCCTCTGAGAAGAGGGGTGACACAGACCTGGAAGGGGAAGCAAGACGAAGCTATGTGCCATCTCTCCTGGAATGCCTGGTGACCCTCCGGTCAGGGGCACAGCAGTGAGGGGAGCTTGTGTCCCCGCCTGCTGCCTTTGCCCATGCAAGTTCGCTCAGGTTGTGGCTGCTGGGGGGTGGGGGGTGGGGTGGGGTGGGGTGCTGGTATGTCTTGTTTAAGGAAAAGCCTCCAGCAGGGGTCTACAACTTTGGCCTGTTTGCTACCGGAGCCCTTTCTTGGGGGTTCTGGGGCACCTTTGTGCAATCTAGAGGACCAGACTCCAATCACTATCTGAGGACCCAGAGAGGATAGGAGTGATCTTGTCCTCAAGAAGCCGCCCCGCCTGAGCCCCAGCTCCAGAGCCCGGCTTTCTGCAGACCCTCCAGACTCTACGTCCTCCTCCCTTCCCCCTTCAGCTCTCCGCCTTGCTCAAATTCTTCCCAGGAGCTGGGGCAAGAAGCCCAGACAAAGGTGGCTTTTCTGTGGGGTGACCGCCTGGGCCAGGAAAGAGGTCAAAGCTGCCTGCGGAAGCCAGGGTTGGCGCTGACCTTTTTGAATTTCAAATATGCTTGCTCTCGCCTGAAGCCAAGGGAGGCAAGTCTGTGCCTGCTTTTGCATTTACCACGGTGACAGTCCTTCCCTGGGACAATTACTTACCCCAGCCTGCGTGGCTGCAGGAAAAGATGTCTGAAGAGAGAGCTGTGACGGCCAGACTCGGAAAAGTCCCTGTTGGTTGGTTTTAATCTACAGTGGAAAACCTCCACATTCTTCTGCCATCCAGGGCTGTGACAGGTATTAATAACCCTATTAGCTGCAATCCTGTCCGGCGCTATTTACACGGGCCGCGTCCACATCACGGCAGCCACTCTGTGGCGAGGGACCGTGCATGTTCAAAGCTAACGAGACTCTGGCTCCTGTTTTTCTCCTCTGAGCCCAGTGTGTTGACAAATTAGGTTTCCGGAAGGAGGTTCCCCATCCCCATGTGCCAACGCTGCCTGTGGCCAGGTGCCAAAGAGCTCTCTGCGGCACTAAGGTGATTCTGGAACTTCGAGGAAGGGTCCATGCCTCTTCTCCTGCTGCTTCCCTTGCCTGAAGCCCCAGGCCCCCTTCTCTGCATCTGCAAAGCCCTTCCATCCTTCAAGATCAGTTTCAAAGTCACCTCTTCTTTGAAAGCTCCCCAGAGACCCTCAATTAAAAGTAAACTTCTCCCCAGAACGCCAACAGCCCTTCATCTGGAGCTCATGGATAAGCTAATGCTTTCTTTTGGGTCGTCTTACCTCTCCTCCCAGGTAATGGGAGGAACTGTGCTGGCATTCTGCCTACCGGGCATCTGAAACCTGTTTTGCTCTTAAAACATGGTTGACCTTGGCCTCTGGGGCACAGAAGCTGGCCAGGGCAGTGGGGAGTCAACCCAGGGCAGCCCAGAGTCTGCTCAGCACGGGGATAGTGTTTCCGAATGAATCATTCCTGCTGCTCACCACTTACAAAGTCAAACTGATAAACAAACATCCGTGGAGGGGAGAGTTGTCTTTAATCAGAATGCCAGCAGTCTGAAAAGACGGTGGACTCAGTGTCCCATGAACACCAGCTCCGAAGAATCTGTTCGAGGAGGAAAGTTTTAAAGGAAATGAGGGAAGTAATGTCAGTGAACCACTGAGCTAGGGCTTCAGAGTGGTCACATCCCCCACTGCCTGCAGGTTGGTGGACTCCTCAAGACCTTCCTCTAAATGTTATCTTGATCACCCGGTTTGGTCACTTGGTTTGTGAGATTACCGAGGGGAAGCTCAGGAGAAGATCTGCTGCTGCTGCTGCTAAGCCTCTTCAGTCGTGTCCGACTCTGTGCGACCCCATAGACGGCAGTCCACCAGGCTCCGCCGTCCCTGGGATTCTCCAGGCAAGAACACTGGAGTTGGTTGTCATTTCCTTCTCCAAGGGAGGAGATCTGCTCATCTGCTAATTACTTATCTTCCTTCCTATTTCTTTGATCCACAGAAACAACCAAGGTTAGGCAAGGAATTGTGAGATTAAAAGATTTGAAAGGTGTGCTCCTGTTGAAAATGAGTAGAGCATGGTGGTGCCTGGTTAAAAGTTAGATACAATACCGCTTTAGTAAGTGACAAGGAAAGAGGCATCCTGCTGATGGCAGTTTCCTGCAAAGAGAGGCTTAAAACAGCCCTGCCAGGCTGTGGGATGGTGAGTGCGGGGGAGTCGTCAGCCACACCTTTCATCCAGCTGTGCAGAGGCAGGAAAAGAAAGCAAAACCTGGAGAGGGACACAGAAATATTATCAAAGTAAGCTTGGGTCTTCTCCCCGGTGCTCAGCAAAGCCAGTCTTCTGACATCATGTTGTGGTGAAGGGAACTGCAGTGTTTATTGAAGGGCAGCCAGTTCTCAAAACACCGGAATTCTCTGATGGGTTTCACGGAAGCATTTTTACAGGCCAGGTGAGGGAGGGGTGTCAGTGAGGGGATCAGCTCACCCACAATTCTCTGATTGGCTGATGGTGAGGTAATAGGGCAATGTCAATCCTCAGGCGCCAGTTGGTCTGGGGGCTTCCCGCTCAAGGTCATCAAGTAATTCATTTCTTCCCTCTGGTTGAGGTTTCAGCCTCTGTGAAACAATTAGGAAATGTGCATCAGGGAGGATCTATGGGAGGGGTTTTAGGGCAGGAGTCTGTCCCTGGAAGGCCCTGCAGAATCTGCTCAGTTACAGAAAGAGCTTTAGAAGGACAGGTAGGAGGAGAGCCTAGAGTGTTAGTTAGTATGAGATTGAGAAGGCTGAGTCTGGATTTCAAGTGGATATGAGGATGCCAAGAAAAGCTAGGAGGGCTTTGTAGACTGGGAAAATGGGGAAGAAGATGGGGATGGTCAACACGGAGTTTTACAGGGACTACCATTCACCTACACGGATCCTTTGTGTGAGCTGGAAAACAGTCTTTGGCTAGGGTGACATGGCTTCAGGGCAAGGCAGCGCTGCTGAGTGCAGGCTGGATTTTTCCCCTTTTAGCCTCCTCAGCTGTACCTCTGTATCAGTTACTTATTGCCACAAAATGACATGTAACGGAGCACACCCGGAGACAGCAGTCTTGTCATGAACCCAGCTGCTAATCAGGGGTTGGCTGAGCTCAGCTGAGTGGCTCTGCTCTTCTCCTGAGAGGTTCACTTGCACGGCTGCTGTGGCCAGGGGTGGGCATTTAGGCAGGGCTCCGCTGGGCAGTCCACCCCTGTTAGATGCATGCCTCATCATCCTCCTGGGACTAACAGGCTAAATTGTGCCTGACAGTATTCAAATACAGAGAGCAGACCCAAGTGCTTTGAAGCCATTGGCCCCTTTGTTGGCTAACATTCCACCAGCCAGAACAAGTCCCATGGCCAATCCAAAGTCAAGGCGTAGGGAACGAATTGGACCCTTTGGTGAGAGGAACTAGAGAGTCACAAAGTACAGAGTGAAGTGGCAGCATTAACACATGCAGGCACTGTGTTCTGGACACAGTACACCTCACCAGACCCTGCAGTCCTGCCTGGCCCAGAGGTTCTTTCTCAACCCTTCTTTCTATGTCCTACCTGAATTTCCATCAGGATCTACCTCAAAGCAGTTACCTTTACCACTTAAGATGTGATGCAAACTCCTGTCTTACTCCTGGTGACTTTTGTCTTTTCACACCAGTATCCTGCCTTTCTCTCATGACAAATCATCCTCTGGCCACTTTTTTAAAATGATTTTTTTTATTGGAGTATAGTTGATGTTACAATGTTGTGTTAGCTTCTGCTCTACAGTAAAGTGAGTCAGTTATATATATATGCACTCTTTTTTTAGATCCTATTCTCTTATAGATCATTACAGAGTACTGAGTCGACTTCCCTGTGCTACACAATAGGTCCTTATTAGTTATCTGTTTTATATACACAGTAGTGTGTATATGTCAATTCCAATTTCCCAATTTATCCCTCTACTACTCTTTCCCCTTGGTAAGCATAAATTTGTTTTCTACATCTGTGACTCTGTTTTGTAAATAGGTTCATTTGTACTGTTTTTTTTTTTTTAGTTTTCACATGTAAGTGACACCATAAGAAATAGCATCTGTCTTCTCTGACTTACTTCCCTCAGTGTGGCAGTCTGTGGGTCCATCCATGCCACCACAAATGGCATTATTTCATTCTTTTTTCTGGCTGAGTGATAATCCACTGTACCACATCTCTATCCATTGCTCCTCGATGGACTCCTCTGCCCCCATTAGGAAGCATCGCCACCTCTCTATCACCTCTCTATCCCTACATGTGTTCTTCCTATCTGGCAAGGTGATACCAGCAAATGTTGTGGTCCAAAGGTATGTTGAGGAGGAGTCAGGAACCAGAAAAGGGGAAACTCATAAGGAACTGGGAGAAGAAAGTCTTTTCTAGAATCCACAGATTTGATGATATAGTCTATGCCATCAGTCTGATGACGGCAGCTATTTGAACTGACTTACAAAGGTCACCTTGGATCCGTCTCCAGAATTCCTCTTGGCTGTATGTCTCAGGGGTTCAGACACATGACGTCCGGAGATTCTCCCCAGTATCTAACTCCGAGGCCCACTTTGAAGTCTGTTCTGATTTTGCTCAGCATTATTGGTGTATTTTTTGGCCAGGGGCTTTTTTTTATGTTTAAACCAGCCAATTTTCTTTTTATCCTGAAGAAGACATGCACTTGCTGCGTGTGTATGTGCATGATATCCCCATTAAGGAAAGAAATGGAGCCCCATTCTTCCTGCAAATGCTTCTATTGTGAAGCAAAATATCCAAACATTTAATCCTTGCAGCCTGGACCCCACTTGAAGCAGACCCTTATTTTGTGCACTTACCTTCTCTCAATACACACAATTCCTTCTTGATGGAAACACTTGTGTGTTTTCTCAGTGGACACTTGGGGAATCAGGCCCTTCACGCTGCTTTTTGGGTTATTACACTGTCACATTTTACCACTTTGCAGAAAGAACGTATTAAGCAAAATAGAGTTCTCAGGAGCAGGGATTGCTATTGTTAGAGAAACAATACTTGGGAAATAATTCCCCCCAATTTTGTCTTCATCTTTCCTCTGCTGTGCAAAGAGAGGAACAATTTATTAACAGGAGGCAGAAAATGTTACTGCTGCTTATGGGCAATGGAGGTTTATGGGGTCCACAATATATGTTGTTTCAGTGGCTTAGAAGGCAAGAGATTTTAAGAGCTGAGGAAAAAAAAAATGAATTCCCAGTGGGAGCGGGTTGCTAAGGAAAAGAGCCTCATTTGAATTTCACAAAGGTTTTGGAAATCCTGGCAGTGGTGCCATCCTGTTTGTATTGGGGACCCTGATGGTTTCAAGGACTGTTGGCGGTAGGCGAAGGGATTTGGGGAAGAGAAGAGGCAGCCTTGTGACTCTGTGCGCATCACAAGCCGATAAGCGATGTTTATAGCAGAGCTTCAGAGAAGCCCATGGCACCCCACTCCAGTCCTCTTGCCTGGAAAAGCCCATGGACGGAGGAGCCTGGTAGGCTGCAGTCCATGGGGTTGCTAAGAGTCGGACAGGACTGAGCGACTTCACTTTCACGCATTAGAGAAGGAAATGACAACCCACTCCAGTGTTCTTGCCTGAGAATCCCAGGGATGGGAGAGCCTGGTGGGCTGCCGTCTATGGGGTCGCACAGAGTCAGACACGACTGAAGTGACTTAGCAGCAGCAGCAGCATAGCAGAGCTTAGAGTCCAATGCTTTGGATGCCTGATGCGAAGAACTGACCCATTTGAAAAGACCCTGATGCTGGGAAAGATTGAAGGTGGGAGGAGAAGGGGACAACAGAGGATGAGATGGTTGGATGGTATCACCGACTCAATGGACATGGGTTTGGGTGGACTCCAGGAGTTGGTGATGGATAGAGAGGCCTGGCATGCTGCGGTCCATGGGGTCGCAAAGCGTTAGACACAACTGAGCTACTGAACTGAGCTAGAGTCCATTGTCTTCACTGCTGCCCTTCATCTTGGATAGTTTGGCTTCTGGCTTTGGTTTGGCCTTATTTCCAAGTTCAAGCTTGTCCTTAGACTTAATGCTAGACTGTGGTTTTCCTGTTTTGACAGTGACCACTGTCCCCTGCACAAGGATGGTACTTACACCTGGGGCTCGCCACGCTTTCAGCTGCCCTTGCTCACACTCGGCCTGACCAACTCTGAGCCGAGCCTCCCCTTCTTGGCTGTGGCTCACGTGGCCATTTTTGGCAGGATTTGTGTCCAGCCCCATTCTGGGGGATGAGCTCTGCTTATTCAACACGCGTAGGGGAGGAGACTTCCCAAGGGGCCCAGAGAGTCAGTGAAATGCATCTTAGACTATAAAAACCCACTGGACTCAAAGTCACCTAGGCCACAGGGAAGAGTTTTAGGAGGCAGTACAGGTTCCCAAGGGCTTCCAGGTGGCACCGTGGTAAAGAATCTGCCTGCCAATGCAGGAGCCACAGGGGGTGCGAATTCAATCCCAGGATCTGGAAGATCCCCTGGAGGAGGGCATGGCCACCCGCTTCAGTATTCTTGCCTGGAGAATCCTGTGGACAGAGGATCCTGGTGGTCTACAGTCCCTGGGAGTCAAAAAAGAGTCAGACATAACTGAACACGCACGCACCACACACACAGATTCCTAAAGCTGCATAGGGTTTTCTAAGATCTGCGCTGCCTTGAATCAGCACTGGAATCATCTTGTTAAAGCTAAACCAGCCCCATGGAAGGCATTTTCATGTCCACTTTGGTCAAAGTGGAGATCCTGGGCTAGCAGAGTTCAGGAAAATGTGCACCTGGGGTCTGCCTGGAGCTTGAGGCTCAAAATACAGCCCTGCACAAATGCAGCCACAAGCCGGCATGTAGGCAGGAGCCTTCCTCAGCTCCGTAGGAGGGGCCCGTGTGACTCTATTAATGAAGCAAAAGATATTGGAATCCAATTGTTGATGGATCATCACACGCCGGGAAAACTCTCAGCTGCATTGACTGGGCAAGCAGGGGGCATCGTTTTGAACTTCTGGAGTTAATGAACTATGGCCTGAAATTTACAACCTGGTCGTGTTATGGATTTAGCTCCCAAGTACAACTCTGGGGAGCTGGCACACTCCTCCAGCCTCTGTGCAGGCCAGAGGCCTTCCAGGATCTGGCTTCTGCATTCTCCCGTGTCTCTGTAGCCCATCACAGGGAGCCCATGGGCCCCCTTGGTGCTTGTGGGTGAGAGACACTACTTCCCAGCACTGTTGCAATGATTGTAGCACAGGACAGACATGGAGAAAGATGGACTGGAGCTGGTTTCTGTTGCCTCGAAAGGATTTTAAAGCCAGTTAGTACCCTAGAGGCTCAGCAGTAAAGAACCCACCTACAATGCAGGAGACATGGGTTCGATCCCTGGGTTGGGAAGATCCCCTGGAGAAAGGAAATGGCAATCCACTTGCCTGGAGAATTCCAATCCATAGGTTCACAAAAGAATTAGACAAGATTGGGCAGCTAAACAACAACAACAACAACAAACCAGTGTGGGGCAGGTGAGGACTGGGTATTCTTCCAAGCCCCTTCTTTTCCCCATCTGGACATATTCATTTATTAACAAATTCAATCCACAAAGAGATTTTTGAGTCCTAAGAGGGAAAAGACAATGAGAGTTTATTGAGGTTACCCACCAATCTTGTTTGGAAGCCAGTTATATACCATATACCCAGACTGCACCTATTCCTAAAAAAAAAAAAAAAAAATTCTTTTCTAATATATAACTAGAAGGAGAGAGAGAGGGAGAGAGTTTCTACATGTAAAAACAGTACATAAGTAGTGATCAATAAATATATTGAATATATAATTTGTAAATTATCACAATGCTTCCCTTGAAAACAACATGGAAAGTCACAGTGAAGCCCTGGCTTCAAATTTGTGTGAAGTGAGAAGAGTTCTCTTTTGACAGCTTTCCTTTTCCATTTGTTTCCATTTGCTTTCACTGTTTGTTGTCAAAAACAGTCGATAGTTGCTGCTTCCTCTTCCTAACCTGCCATTTCTCCTTGGCTTAGTCTGGCCTTGGCTCCTTTCCGACCTTGTTACTAACTTCGCTCTTTTGAGAGGAACTGGTGCTCTTTTGCACACCAGACCCAGGGCTGGTACCTGGGTCCCCATCCGTTCCCTTGTTAATGTTCCCAAGTCTTGTTAATGTTCTTAACACAGTTCTTACCTCCCGCTTCTTACAGTTTTCTTTTCCCTATCTTTTATGACTTTTTTTTTCAACTATCTCAAGTCTCATCCAGGCTTGGTGGCCATTTCTTGGCCTCCTTTTGTTGATTCTTCTACTTGTCCCATGACTGTAGATGTCAAAGAAATGAAAATTCAGATCTTAGTTTCTCCTTATGTTCTAGTTTCTTTTACTCTACTCTCTTTCTTAGTTTTAAACTTCATGTCATTTATTTTTTAAAAAATTGACTACAAAGTCTGTGTATGACCCTCTGTATGACCCTTTCCCAGGGTCTAACTCCATTTATCTGACAAATCTTTATTGAGCACTTAAGAAGTGCCAGGACTTTTCTGTGGTCCTGGTAACAGAGCGATGAACAAGACATGCCAACACTGAGAACAGTATGGAAGTTTCTTAGAAAATAGAGAAATAGATAGTTCCCTAATAGGTACCTCTCTAAGAGGTATATAATAGAGATATATCTCTAAAAGGTAGTTCTAAAAATAGAACTACCATATGACTCAGCAGTTCTATTCCTCAGTGGTGGTTTAGTTGCTAAGTCGTGTCCGACTCTTTGGACTTTAGCCCTCCAGGCTGCTCTGTTCATGGGATTCTCCAGGCAAGAATACTGGAGTGGGTTTCCATTTCCTTCTCCAGTATTCCTCAGCATATATCCCAAAACACTATAAACACTAATTCAAAAACCATACTCAACACACTGCCTCTTATATGGAAATTTGCATTCTAGTGAAAGAGACACATAATAAGCCAAATGACATAGTAGCTAACACTTAGAGGGCTTACGTTATGTCAGGCATGGTTCTAGATACTTCATATGTGTTAACTCATTTAATCATCTGAACAACCTATTTTTAAAGATGAAGACATGAAAGCACAGGAAGGTTAAGTAACTTGCCAAAGATCACACAGCTTAAAATGGGAGGAGTTGTGACTCAACCAGGTAATTTGGCTCTAGAGGTTGTGAAATTGATCAGTAAGCTCTATCTTGTCTCCCTATAGAATGTTATGTGGTGTTAAGTGCAAGTTAAAGGACAGAAGGGTAGGGTGTGTGTGTGTGGTGGGGGTTGAGCCAGGGGGGCTGTGATTTTAAGCAGAGTGGTCAGGGAAGAGCCTATGAGGTAATATTTAAGATCTAAAGGTGGTTTGGGAGAGCCTTGAGCGATCTGGGGAGGAGGGAAGAGAAAGAGGCTTGACGTGAGGGCAAGCCTCACTGTCTTCAGGAAGGGCAGGAGGTGAGTGGCAGGGAAGGAGCAAGGGTCAGAGGGGACCCATAAGCAGGCCATTCAGGGCCTGGTAGGTCACAGTAAAGGCAGTAGAAGCCTAAGCTTTACTATGAATGGAATGAGAGGCTGAGTCATATTTTGGTAAGATTACTCTGGGTGCTGCTTTGGAAATGGATGGGGCTGAGGACTGGGGAAGATGGAACCTGCTAGGAAGCTATTGCAGTGATCCATGTATTGTTGAGTTGGGTGGCAGGAACAAAGAGGTGAGAAATGGTTGACTTCTGAGTCTATTCTGAAGGTAGAACCAAAGGATTTCCTGATGGATTAGACATGGGGTGCTTTTCTCAAAGCAGACTTAAAGATGATTTCAATTTTTTGGCCCAAGTGGAAGAGTGGGGTTACCATTTTGCCTGAAAAGAGGAAGATTGTAGGAAGAAAATATTTGGGATGGTAATATAAAGAGTTCAGTTTGGGACACGTTTGAGGTGTCTATTAGATATAGTAGTGGTGGTAACAAGTAGTTAGATAAACAGGCTTGGCATTCAGGAGGAGTCTTGACTTAGAGATATGAATTGTTTTCAACACACGTGCTCATAAATGTTCTACGGACACCTAGAAGGATATTCTGGTTCTTCCTCCTCCTTCTCTTCATCTTCCTTAACATGTGAGTGTTGGTTACACGCCAGGCTCTTTCTCAAGCTTTTCATAAAATCCTCACAGGGATTTTTGTATGCAGTGACTATTGTATTCTCCATTTTACAGATGAGGAAACTGAGGCCTATTAACTCCAGGCTACTATCAGACTTCTAAAAAGAAAGTGAAGTGACTTGCAATAAAATACCTGGGTAAAAAATTCATAAGGCTCTTAATATAAGAATACAAGAATAACATATATTTAAGGTCAAATAATAAAGGGGGGTATAATTGTACCAGAATATTTAGACTAAATATAACAAGTCTTCTAAAGAAAAAACATAGCCTTGAGCTTCTTGGCAGCAGAAATAAAAAGGGAAACAGCATGAGCAACAGTTCATCAGGAGGGATGAATTCTTCTTAAGTACTGAGTTATTTAGTTTTTAAAATAACTTCTCCTGGGGGAGTAAAGTATATTCTCAGGAGGCAAAATAACTTATAGAAAAGATTGAAATTGGTTAATTAAATTCTTTTTTTTTCTGTTCACCATGTTCATAGTTATCATTTATTAAGAAATTATAGATGTGAGACACTGAGAGAAATAATAATAAATAATAATAATGCTGTGAGAAATACAAAGATGCATCAAACATGGTCTTGGCCTTCAAGTATCTTTTTATCTCATTAAAGATGAAACATAGACACCAAAAATGAATAAACAGCAACATATAATAAATGGATTAGGACAAGCTGTCATAGAAAGAGTTTTATTCTGATGCCTGTGGGACCTAGACTGTAAAGCTAGGCTTCAATTCAGGCATCACTGCTTGCTAGAACAGAAAGTTAATTCCCTTCTCTGCTAGTTTTTACATCTAAAATATAGAGATGATGGTAATAGAACTTGCTTCAAAGTGCCTTTGTGGGGATCCAATGTGTTAACAATACTTGTAAAGCCTGCAGTATGGTACAGGGCACATAGTAAGCTCCACAGAAATATCTGCATCATTAGGAGAGTACTTACATCATTCAGAGGAGAGATTCAGTCTTTATGATTGGTGGATATCACCAATGTCTCCACCTCTATCACCAAAATGACCATCACTCACCTTTTCCAGCTGTGTCTTCTGGTAGCAGCTTCTGGAAGGTGATGGGGTGCAGAAGTGATCTTGTTAAATTCAGCTT